CAACAAATTATAGATCAATGTGTAGCCCCATCCCTCTTCTACAAGATAAAAAAAAGTGTAGCCCTCTATCTATAATATTGTAGGAGCTATGATTTGTTATGTAAAACTACTCATTTTCGCCATTTTACCCTGGGTCCAGGGTAAAATGGATAAGCACTAGGGTAAAGTGGTTAAAATAATATTTGACACATATTTATTGTTTTATTTAACAAATATTACAAATTAAAGATTTATTTATGATTTTTATTTAAAAACTAATCGATACAATAAGGACATGTAAAATAATTATCATAATTAGCACATTTAGAATGTGCCCATTCAAGGCACATTGTACATTTTAGCCATTCATCGCCCTCGCGACTATTTTTATAGTTTTTATTACAAATAACACATAAACAATTATTTTTTGATATCTTTTTTTTTCTCTGAATTAATAATTTTTTTTTATAAGGTGTAGATGTTAATATTTTTGAATTCTTTTTTTTAGATATTTTATCCGATGAAATATTGAATAATTTTGGAATAGGTATTATAGATGAAGGATTGAATACTTTATTATAATTTTTTGAGCATGATGGTAACATATGATAGGGTTCATCAATATCATCTGGAACATTTTCGTTCAATAATATAGATAAATCACTATCATTATTTTGAGTCACTGTAAGATTTTGAGTCGAGCTAGCATTTGAATTATTACAGCAGATATAATCTTGTTCTGTAAATATATTTGGGTTTAAAGGAAATATGCCACATGCTAAGAACCCATTTAATATATTATTTGGTGTCACTGCCCTTGGTATTTCATTTTTTAACACTCCTGGAATATCATAAATCTGAAATTGTTGCCCCACATGATTTCTCATCCATGTGTCAATAGCTCCATTATAAAACTTTTTCAATGGCCCATAAACTGCTTTGTCTAATGGTTGGAGTTTATGCGAGCAATGTGGTGGAAGTGTTAGAATAACAATCCCATTGGAGCGACAATAGTTTATAACGGAAATTGAACAATGAGAGCTATGGTTATCTAAGATTAATAAGACATTTTTCTCATTGGATGCACTGGAATATTTTTTAAAGTGTTCCAAAAAAGATAAAAATTCCTCCTCTTGCATGCAACCCGATGTGTTTCCCACACCCTTAGATTTAATAGGCCCCATCACGAATAAAGTGATCTTTGTATCGTTTTCTTGGAAAAATAAAAAATGGTGGAATGCTATGGCCTATAGCATTGATGGCTAAACATATTGTAACTAACGTTCCTCTTTCTCCTGACGTTATAGAGCCGACTTGTTTGGCACCCTTCTGTGCTATAATTTTTGAAGGAGTTTGAACGGTGGTGAAACCACTTTCATCTGCATTCCATATATTATGTGGTTCAAAGTTATAAGAATTATATAGCTTAATTAAATTTTCAAAAAATTTATTGACATTTGTGGATTGAAGCCATATGCTCTTGCTAGACTAGTAGCTTCAGGGGTACGAATCGAAAGTTGGGAATGTCGTTTTCTAAACCCCATAAACCAGTTCTCTCCAGCCATACCATTAGTTGTCCAGCTTTCTGGGAAAGATTTGCCATATTCTTTAGCAAGCTGATATGCAAATCCTCTTATCTTGTTTATTTATAAAATAAAACTATTTCATTTTAATAATTAACAATACCAGTTCCATAGAGTTAAAATGATATATAATTAATTAAATAAATTGAATTAATTTCATAATTTTAATAATGCTCAATTGGTAACTTTAATATTAAATATCAATATTTATTTGATTATAATAAATGAATGAATGAAAAATTTAATGTGAATAATTTATATTTTAACCGTTTTACCCATAACATTACCCCTAGGTGACATATATTATATATATCGTTATTGCGTGACTTCTAATATAGCTAAAGATGTCAGATAAATTTTATTTTATAGTTAATACATTAAGGAACATGTGTGCCAAATTTTGAATCCTGAGGATATGTAAATTTTACTAAAAGCAAAATATACTAGAGATTGATTTTTATATTTTTTGGGTAAAAAACAGTTTTTTGACAAAATATATAAAACCAGGTAAGTTTTTTAAAAGATGAACATAGGTAAGAAATTAGATATAAAAATACATCTTCACACCAAATTTAAGGTCTTTATACTCAATGGTTAAAAAGTTATTCGCGTTAACATTGTTACCCCGTCAATCGCTTTACCCCGGTCTCCCCTACATTCCACGATATATCATTTTTTAGTAAAAAATAAATTGAACATTTTTATATACTTGTTAAATAAACCTGGTGAGACGTCAGAGGAAAGGAACATTTTTTAAAAAATTATATATTATTTCGGTCATATTCTTTTTGTTATCTCTTTTTTTGATGGGTTAATAATATTAGGTGCTTTAATAAGCATACATTACAAAAAAATTTTAAGGCAAATCTACTATACAAATCTCACTTAAGTAACTTTTCAACATGATTTAATTTATATTAATCAAGAATATTTTGGTAAATAAAAATAGCATATAATATTGAGTATTTTGATATTTGAAAGAGCAGTTATAAAATAAACTACCTGGTAAATATCAAAGAGCTGCCAGACTGGTCTGAGCCAGTTAAACCTATCGGTTCTATGTGGAAGGACTTATTATATGAGAAAATATAATTATATTTATTTTGGTTAAAGGGGGGGGGGCGAGGGCTGTATCAATTTTTGTTTGCTTAAATAAGTATTAAAGAAACTTTGCAAATTTGTAAAATGGACCCACCCCCCTCAGTTATACCTAAAATGGGTAACCTTAGAAAGTTTATTTTGTAAAAATTGATATATGAGATTATTTACCCAATTATGATATTTCATGATTTAATATATAAATAATCACATAGTATTTCTCCTTATTGATTGAGAAAATATTTGATTCTTCGGGTAATATATATACCTTCTAAAAGTTGTAATATGGAAGATTTAAACCGAACAAAACCTTTTAAATAAGTAAACTTTTAAATAGGTTTTAATTAATCGTTATTATTTACAAATCCTAATCCAACCTTAACCGTTAAATAAATTCTCACCCTAACCTGAATTATAAATATTATATTATTCTTTCAAAATTTTAACCTTTCAAGACAAATAGTTATAAAGTTATAGACCATCGCTAGTTTCGTTAAACGGCTCGATTTGAGCCGATTTTTAAAAGAACTCAATATTTTAGCCAGAAAAATATTGTCTAAGCCTCAAAATATCGTTAATAGATATTCCAACCTTTGTGCCATCTATGAACTAAATAGGTAAAATATTAAGTTAGCCATTTAAAAAAATCAGCTCAATACTAGCTGTTTAATAATAATATCAACTACTGTTTAATGCTACTTATTGTTCAGGCACAGTTTCCCGTAAAGCGTTTATTTCCGCTCAGATCCTATGCTTGAATCATCCATTAATTTTATTTTTTGAATAGGATCTTTTTAATTATAATAAAATTGATTTGGAATCCTTATTTTTTTTTGGATAAACCAAACATATATTAACACGATTTCAAGGATTTTACATTTCCATAACGTGTATTAAAAAAGAATTACCTAAAGATGTTTAATATGTTTATAAATTTTAATTAGCATATTTATGAAATTTAAAATGTGTTATTAAAATCTCGCGTTAGATTAGTTTTATTAAAAGGATGAATTTCTAGTTTAAAAAAAACAAAAAGAATCATCTTTTTCTTTATATTAAATATTTTTCGGAAAATTAAATGAACAAAATAACAAGAAAGATAAAAATAGTTATATAAAGGAAATAAAGTAAAGAGATATAAATGAAAAAGGGAAAGAAAAAATAATAAAAGAAAAGCAAAGGTTTATAAAGCGTTTATTTAAACCATGTAGAACAATCGAGCTTTGTGATGTCTTACAATATATATTATATAAGAAATCATTGAGTGATTTTAATCTTTATTTTTCTTTAGTCTGCAAAAAGAAATTTTAGATCTAACTTTAATACTTTACATTTGATGGGTTTTATTGTTTTGTATGGATACATCTATCATTTCCATGAATAAGGCTACGGTCATGCCAGAGCGTTCTAGTGCATGATGTTAAAAGATGGCAAAGCCAAAAATCGAGTGTTGCAAATATAATGTTTTCAAAAATTATGCGCCAAAATTTTCATGATAAATTGACATGATATCAAATAAAATAATGACCCTAAATCATACTAGAAAACACCGTGTTAATAATTTCGCAAATAATTTTTAAAAGCAAAATTTATCATATAATAATTTAATTTATAAAATATATTTATATGGAATAATAAACTATTCAAAAATAAAATATTACGGTTCAAATTTTTCTCATGGTCCAGAAATTTATCACATAAGAAAACTTTTAAAAACCAAGAAAAATTGTTAGGTTATATAAAAATTCTCAGCCCTAAAAACGGAAATTTATAAGCAGGTTATACTGATACTACATTGGAGATGTGTGTGGCTCGAAGATATCACGGCGCAAAAATTTCGGGGCCTGGCAACTTGTGTAAATTTTCCTGTAATTTAAAGAAGAAAAAGATAATAGATTGACAAAAAAATAAGTAAGGGCCTGGTCGGATTCAAAATTAAAAATAGAGCTGGGCCAGGTAATTCGAGTAAAATATTTTGGGCTGGACTAAAATTATTATACTCCAGGCCGAAAACCCCTTTTCTCCACGCACCGCATCTGGCCGGGTCATGCTGATGGTTACACTGCATACTAATTCAATATTAATTATATTTTATAAAACAAAAAAAATATAACTTTAATTTTGAAATACAAAAAAAATAATATAATTATAACAACATGACATTTACAACATCGATTTTTTTTCCCCGAATTTTCCTATATTAAATGTATTTATTTTTTTTGGATTTTTAAATTTTAATTCGTCCTCTTTATATTTTATTTTTGTTTAATTTAAAAATTAGTAATTTAATTTATCTATTACACGATAAATTTACATTATATTATGACATACCTTTCTAAAATGATACGACATTCTTTACAATCATCATCGGCAACTCCTAAATCCAAAACTCAAAATTTTAACGAATGCGAAAATTCTAAGGCTAAAACTATAGCCAAATATAAAAAGGTAAATTATGTATCATATAAAGTATCAGCAGTATAGTTTGTTTTAAAAAAAAAAAATTTGTAAATTTTTTTTATCTTACCATTATTTCTAAATTTCAATATTTTTTATTTGTATAAATAATTAATGACTTGAAATGAAATAAATTGAATTGAATTGAATCTTCATTAGGGGTTTACCTTAGTTAACCCTAATTTTTGTTTTTCCCATTCTTTAATTATAAATTTTAGGTGGCCATATTTTCTATTTGATCAACAGTTTTTTTTCAGACCACAGGTTAACTTTGTAGTTAGAAGCAGGAAGCTCCCGTTTTCTCAATCTAAATATAAACCAGAGACCGGTTGGCCGGGCCGTATTTTAATTTTTTTAAAATATACTCGGGTCGGCCTGAAAATTATTTTAGACTCAATATTTCAAATCGCCATAATTAGCTATAAAAAAATAAATGTAATATTTTTTAAAAATTCGGCCAGAAAAATTAAAAAAATTCTGCTGACTGGCCGTGCAAATGATACCACCACTTGGTATAAACCACAGCTAGTTTCTGTTTTTTGATATGATCAGCGGGTCAGTTCAGTTCTTTTGAAACGAGTTAGATATTAGACGTGGATCCCTCTATAGAGATGATAAGGGATCCTCATAGCTCAGGCCTAAATTATCAATTTGATTTAAGTGGCGGAACTCTGCAACATACATCAACAAAATATCATGAAAAAATACGCTGACCGGGACTATCTAAAATATATTAAATACATTAATCTTAATCCTTCCCACCCTCCAATAAAATACTTGGTTATGGGGCTAACTAGATGACTCTCTTTTAAATTCAGATAATTTAATTGATGATATTTAAGAAGTTTAGAACAAGACTCAGATGAAAGTGTCGAAGTAAATCTCTTCGGCTAAGTTCAAGCCTGTAACCTCCTGGGCATTCAAATTAAATCTAGTGAATAGGAAAGGAAATATAAAAAGCTCTATATCGTTATAATTAATCAACCATTTCGATAAAGTGTATATGTCATACAGGTTTAACAAATCTGGGTTTTTAACAAATTTGTAAAACCTAAATCATTAATAGTATGCCTTTTTAATTTTTAAAGACCGATTAAAATCTTATTTCGGCATGGATAAAGTACTTACCCTAAAAATTTCAGATTTTGCAGGAAAATTTGAACTACTTTTAACTTATGTACATTTAATTTGCTAAAAATAAAGGTCAATGTATAGACCCGAATTTACTAAATCCTTACGACATATTGTATATAGCAGTCCTATCCCTCTCTCTGTAAGGTAGACATCTTCCCACTCTCATAAAATTATAAAATTATGCTAACTTTTAATCAGCTGTTTTTCTTTTCTTATTCTCGTAACGATTACTTTTATCTTGCTCATTACCCTTTCGGCTGTGCCAATGAGTTTGTTAATACATAATTATTTAATTAATAAATTCGAAAAGCCAGATAAGTACAATTAAGGGTAAGGTAAAATAAAAGAATGGTTGGTTCAGTTTATCTTCAAATTCTCTACCACTAGAAGCTAGATAATGTAAAAATATTATCATGATGAATTGACAATTACGTAAATGACATCTTTATATTTGGATCGTTTGAAATTTAATTTATTTGCACTTAAGTTTAACTAAACAAGAACAAAATCTTTAATATCATTTTTATGCATGTCTTTTCATTAATCCCTTTATAAAAAAAAAATCCGTTTCAGTCATATTATTAAAACATTTCGGTATTTATAAAACACTTCCATTTTATAACTTATTTAAAGTCAAAATCTTAATAAAAATTATCGTATAATAATGATTGGTTCATAGAAATCGTTATTTTTATTAATATTTTCCTCTCTGCTTGTCTCTAAACACTATTGAAATATATATTTATCAATATTTAATGTATCTTTAATCTTTTATAGAATACAGTATCTACATGACCTGGAAGAGGGGTAGGTAAAAATGTCCAAATCTTTGAGGGTAACAGTAGGCTCAGGGTAATGTAAAAAATATTTTGTAGGTTGGGGATAAATGTTACATTCAATTATTTGAAGATGCTGATAGATTTTTTAATAATTGCTTTGTATCTGAATTGTAACATATTTTATAATTTACGTCGTGTTGGTATGGAATCTAGGGTGATTCAGAATCTTTTAATTTTACATCATTTACTGAGGATGATTTTTAAATTAAATTTAACGGTCTTCCCTATGAATTTCATATATTTTTGCCTTAAACTTTTGGGTGTTATTTAATTTATATGAAAAGTCCATTTAAAAATTATAACAAATATTAAAATAGTTTAAAGTATTATAAAAGTTAAAGGTAGAAGTCTCTGAAATTCACATTTGGCTAATATATGCAAGTCAGAATGTATTTCCTGTTCCCATGCTTATCATATCTCATTACGACAAAAAAATATCTACCTTAGCCCATGGCTGGTGCTTTGTTTTTTAACTGCTATAGCGTCATACTCTATGTCTTTGTTTTCTAATTTTCATTAAATTTTATTATTTTCATCAATTTAAAAAATTTATAATTATATATAAAATGCTAAATATATGTTTTTTAAAATTAGAGATGGGTGGGGCAGGAGGGGGTCCTTTAAATGATTATGATGCTAAGATTCATACAACCCGACCCCCCATACGATTCTAGTGAATTTATTGTATTATACCCCCACCGTGATAGAGGGCATTGTATATGGTATTTTAACTTCTTTTTTTCTTAAATAAATCTAAATTTATTTTTTAATAACCAAATATTTTTATAAAAAGTGTCTAAAATAAATTTTCCTAAAAAAAGAGGGAGAAGAAAAACACAGGAAAAAATCAATAAACTATAAAAATGTATTAAGTTTCACTTTTTATTTGCTCGAATTTATATTATGATAAAATACTCCACATAATTTATGCTTGGTCAAATTTTTTTTGATGAGAATTGATTAACGGAAAATCAAGAGAGTGAAGGAGAAGATTTGAATGACTGATAAACAATATTTTTTCTTTCATATTCTTCTTTATAAGAAACTCGTTTAGCCCTTAAGATCTTCATACATTTATTTCCATGGTGTCCGATCTCGATGTTTAACATTTGTAAACGATTATACTTAATCGCTATTTTCAATTATCGTTGTCAGTTTTATTATTCTATATTTTTGATTTTCCAGCTATTTTTTTTTATATATGATATCTTTATATCAACTCCGTGGCTCAACAATTGGAAGCACTTAATTCTAATATGCCTTTCGTGCTTTATTGGTGCTTCTTTAAAAAAATGAAATTTTAAAAAATTAGCTTGAAAATCGTTCTTATAAAGTAGGTAAATTTATACCCTAAGCAAAATTTGCTAGAAATCATAGGTAGGAGATGCAAATAAAATAAATTAATGATGTACCCCGTTTTAAAAGCGAAACTATTTTAAAAAATGAAATGGAAAATCTTATGTTGCTGATAATTCAACGGATATAGTTTTAATTACTTTTAATTAAGAAGGTAGTAGATATAAAGCTTAAGAAGTTTGTGCCAGTATTAGCGGTTACCTATTTACTTTGAATTTGGGGAAAATTGTCTTATTTAAGATTTTACCAAAGTGATAGTCATAAAATCCTAAAATTTAAATTCAGGATTTTAATAAATTCTGTTAAAGATATGGAAAAGATATTCAATTTATAAGTTTGAATATTTTTGCCTAAAAAATTTAACTGGGGTTTACCGCTGACTAGAGGATCTAACTTACTGAATTGATAGTATGCTTTTAACCTTGTCTAAATTTATTTTTATGTATTACTGATATTTTTTTATTAAAAAAATATATTTTATGAAAGTAATTTTTCGAGTCAAATTTTAGCCTATTAAGAATTAAGTTGGTTACTTCATATGATTTAATATAAATGGTTAACAACAGATAATAACTATAAAATTAGAAGTAATTAAAATAAGAATGTTTTACAATTTAAATTAATAATTTAGTCTAAATATTAAAATTAATTAAAAATCAGAGACCTGCAGATAAATCATTGCTCATTTGCACGGCCCAATTTTTTTTTTAAAAAAATTTTCGGCCAGACCAGGATTTTATATTTCTGGACCCGGCCATGTTATATTTATTTTTAATTTTTATAACCGGATATTTTTTTAGAAAAAATTAGCCCGGCCCGGGTATTTTTTTAAAAAGCCTAATTATAAATTTTTTATTACAAAGTAAAAATTTATAGTTATCACAGCTTATATATTAATCTTATTATAAAAAAGATAATAGCTCTTAAAAATAATTTTTTATAGAAGGAACACTGAGAGTATATACGGACGGACAATGTGAAAAAAAAACAATCTATTTTAACTTTATACTGATAATATAATGAATATGAAACTATTATCTAATAATATAAATGTATTTATTTCATTATTCTATGAATGTGTAATAAATTATATTTCTTTATAAAAAATAACAATATTTATTTTTATATTATATTATATAAACGAGAAATGGAATTTTTTTAGATGGTCACACAAAGCTAAGATTTGATGGGTAAAAATAAAGATTTAGGGTGAAAATAAGTTTATATAAAAAAATCAATAATACTTTCATTAGATATTTGTGGAACTGTCAAGTTTAAGTGGAAAAACAAAACTAAACAATCGAATTTTCAATGTTAGATATAAAAGCTAACTTTAATTCTCTTTCAAAAATATTATATACAGTGGCGTAGACAAGGGGGGGGGGGGGGTTTCTCCTAAATTTTTTTTTTTAAAATTTTTTCTTATTGAGAATAATTTTATTTAAAAAATGTTTTCAATTTAAAAATAAAATATACGGTATGAAACTGAAATATATTTAAAAAAACAAATAAGAATTTTAAATTTTAAATAATAGCATGGTTTAAAAAAATATATAAATTATATGTAAAAATATTAAATAACAATAAAAATATATTGTAAATTTTTTCTGGCATAGTTAAATTAGATATTACTAAATTTAATAATAAAATTTATTTTGTTAA